TCAGCCACTATAAGAGGTTGGATCGTCTACTGTATACAACATATTGTTCAACCACTATAGAACAATATGTTGTATACAGTAGACGATCCAACCTCAACCACTATAGAACAATATGTTGTATACAGTAGACGATCCAACCTCAACCACTACAGAACACTATGTTATATACAGTATACGATACAACCTCATCCACTATAGAACAATATATTGGATATAATAAACGATCCTACTTACGTCATCGTAGACAGTAGTATATAATGTAGCTTGGTTTGATTCTATTTAACTAACATAGTGTCAACTAATACATACACACAACAGGTATTTTAATGTTTTCACAGCACGAAAACACTTACTTCGTTATAGCAATAAGAGTATAAATATTGTGCAGGTCATAACTTGAAATAAAATAAACCCACGTTGTTTTAAAGTCTCCGACATTATCTTTTTTCATCAAGTAGTTTTCACTATGGAACAATGAATAAGTATAAAACATATTTTACAATACAACTAATATTAAGTTCCGATCAGATCAAGTTAGCTACTTCCATCAAAACTAAAAACCAACTCAGCACTGAGTATAGTTTAGAAAGTTAAAATATAGCTTAGGTCATGCTATATCTCGAGCCTTCTTAAACAAAGGAAATATACTTGCTGACTAGGCAATGGTAAACAACTATATCTGGAACACTTTAAAAGCTGTCATGAAAGAAGTTTTTGTTTTACGAATTCAAAATATTCAGTAGAAGTAAACACAGAAGGAGGATAATAAAATTACCAGTGTCAAAGGACTTCGACCCAGTACAATGGTTAATGTTAGATAACTGCTTTCACAATTACAAAACGTACTAATCCTACATGTCATTTTATTCCTGCTCATAGCACAACAGGATAAGGTAAATAGTGACCACCCATAAAAAAGTGCACAGGTTTAAAAGTTGCTTCCAGGAATGCTGTCCGGCCTTGAAGGCGGAGCCCCGTTTCAACCAGGGACCAGTTTTGCCGGTAGATGTCTCCCCCCTGCTGAAAGTAGACGCGTCCAGTGCAGGCCGAGCCAACAGCCGAGTTAGTAGAACGATCACTGTACGTTGAAGCTGTGATCGTTCCAGTTAGTAACTGTAATTCTCTAGTTAACGTCAGGGTAGGCAGAACACATTCCTTCAGACAACAAAGTCACAAATATCCTAGTTCGAATTAGTGTTACTTTAACTGCAACGTGTCGCTATGTTATTATGTAAAGTCATAAGTTACTTAACCGATTTTATTGGCACTATTTTTCTCGGAGGGCTCGTTCTTCCGTCACCGTGGACAATTTTATAATTTACAGATATGGACTTAAACGCAACTAGTTGGAAAAGGGGACTAGACCCTACTATACGACAGCCTCAGAGTGATTCTGGATAACATGTGAATCACCAACATGGAAGAACAACATCAACTGTTGTGGATTATTTGTGTGCTGCTGGTCTCGTCAACGTGTGCCGTCCACTACGTGGCACCGGAGGACTGCCGCTGGGAGCCTCTTAGTGTTGCTGGAAGCAGCGACGTGTCCCTGACATGCAGTCTTAGGACACTCAATGGTGCTTTCGACAATACCAACTTCAGTGTCATCCAGTCAGCCCACACCATCAGTCTGACAGTAAAGTGTCAGGACATTTTTTTTGAAAGTTCTCTTCTGAACAATACCGTTTCACACCTCTCGGAGCTACAGAGCCTCAACATAGAATTTTGCAAGTTACGAGAGATACCAACGTTAGCTTTCGCAGGCCTATCACGGGTCGTAAACTTAACTTTACGAACTTACAATAACCGGTGGGGGGAGTTTTCCCTGAAAGTGTTTCCAGACAGTTTCTCCCATCTTGGCAGTCTACGAAGACTTGATCTCAGTGTTAACAATATTGATGTGTTACCAACAAAAGTATTCTGTGGCTTACCAAATTTGGAGTACGTCAACCTTACAGTAAATCTCTTCGACGAAGTATCTGATCTAGCCTTACACCAAACCCACGCCACGTGCGATACGGTTGTACAAGAGTTAGACGTCTCCCACAACAGAATTAAAGTACTACCTAATCGAGGGTTTAGTAGATCCTTTAAACTGAAAGTTTTGTCTCTTAAGTTCAACCAGATAGGGCGAGCTGAAGACAACGCTCTCGAAGGTCTCGACCAACTCCGTACACTAGTATTATCTCACAATCAATTGGTCGCCCTTCCGCCCAGCTTCTTTAAACACACAGAACAATTATCCGAATTACATTTACAGAACAACTCCATTAGTGTAATACCCCCGAGATTGTTTAGTGGACTTCAGCAGCTTGTGACCCTTGATTTGAGCTACAACAGGATTTCCAGTCAGTGGATTAATTCTGACACATTCGCGGACTTAATTCGTCTAGTTGTGCTTGATTTCAGCCATAATCAAATAACCGAGATAGGAACGGCAACATTCCGTTCTCAGTACAGCCTTCAAGTGCTTCGACTCCAATTTAATAACATTGGAAACATAGCTGAAAACGCCTTTGCATCGCTCTACAACTTACATACCCTAATCTTAAGTCACAATCGTATTAATCAGATAGAATACCTGACTCTTAATGGGCTATTTGTATTGAGTGTGCTATCCTTCGACAATAACAACATCAACGTCATCCATCCAGATTCTTTTAGGAACTGCACGAGTTTAGTAGAACTGTCACTCGGAAATAACCGTCTGTCAAGTGTGCCTCTTGCTCTGCAATCTCTCAAACAACTGAGAAGTCTGGAGCTCGGAGACAATCGCATCTCAGAGATCCATAATGCTTCCTACCAGGGGCTCAATCAACTGTACAGTTTGCGCCTGATGGGAAACGAGATTGGAAATCTAACAAATGGTGTTTTCCAGGACTTACCTTCGTTACGTATTCTTGATCTATCCAGAAACAAAATACAGGCACTGGAACAAGGGACACTAGACGATGTCCCCGATCTCCACGCCCTGAGACTTGATTCTAACCTCCTCACAGACATAAATGGGTTATTCAGTAATCTCCACGACTTGCTTATGCTAAATGTTTCTGCTAACAAAATAGCTTGGTTTGATTATGCCTTAATTCCTATTGGTTTACAATGGCTAGATATTCATGAAAATGAAATAGAAGATTTAGGTAATTATTTTCAGTTGGAATCAGCTCTAAAATTGAGGACACTAGATGCTTCCTCCAACTCAATTCATCAGCTTGAGGGCTCATCCTTACCACATGGAATAGAAATCATGTACTTGGCTAAAAACAAAATAAACAGCATCAAGCCATTCACTTTCCTTGGTAAAGCTAATCTTACTAGAGTAGATCTTCGAGGAAATCAACTAAAAACTCTGGAAATGAACTCATTTCGACTCTCAGCTGTGATTTCTAGGAAACCATTGCCTGAATTTTCAGTTTCTGGAAATCCTTTCATTTGTGACTGCAACATGGAATGGTTACAACGACTGAAGTCACTGGGTGAATCTCGCCAATATCCCGACATGGTCGATGTCGATAAGATCGTTTGTCAACTGTCTACCAGACTACCAGCTTCTGTACCGCTCATCAAAGCTAATTCATCACAGTTTCTCTGTCAATACAGAAGTCACTGTTTCGCACTGTGTCACTGCTGTGACTTTGACGCTTGCGATTGCGAAATGGTGTGTCCCGAAAACTGTACATGTTATTACGATCAGAGCTGGAGTACAAACATTGTGGACTGCAGCTCCCTCCATCTGAGTGTGGTACCTCCGAAAATCCCCATGGATGTTACCGAACTTTACCTGGATGGAAACGACTTTCCAAGTCTGTACAGTCACACTTTCATCGGTCGAAAAAACATGAAAATACTTTTCCTCAATAACTCCAACATTCGCCTGATTAGCAATCGTACTTTTAACGGGCTTAGGGCTTTAAAAGAACTGAATCTACAAAACAATAAGATAGGAATTCTGCACGGTTTTGAGTTCGACAGACTTACACTGTTAGTAAAGTTGGATCTCTCTTACAATGTCCTGAAGACCATCAGCAACACGACGTTTACAGCAATGAAGTCCTTAGAAGTTCTCTACCTGGAACACAATTTACTCGTGGAGTTCCCCGTTTTTGATCCCAATATACAATTACGTGTGTTACGGTTAGCTCATAACCCATGGTCGTGTGAATGTGAGTTTCTCGAAACCTTTAGTCACTGGTTTCAAGATGGGGTGGATTTTGTAGAAGATATAACTGAAGTACAGTGCGTTTTTAACGAAAGTCTCACAGTCCAGCTATTAGATTTCAATACTACTTCTTGTAACAACGTTACTGCTTCTAGTAGTTTTATAAAAAAAGATAGAGTACAAGATATTCTGTACATCATAATCACAGCCGTGTCTCTGCTGGTGATCCTATTAATTCTCGTAGCTTTAGTGTTAGTGTTCCGTAAGAGAATGAGTCTGTGGTGTTACACAAAGTACGGTATTCGAATGTTCCACCGCTGTGACCAGGCGGAGAAAGAACAACTTTTTGATGCTTTTGTGTCTTACAGTAAAAAGGACGAAACGTTCGTGACTCAGATTTTGACGCCCGAATTGGAGTACGGCAACCCAACGTACCGTCTGTGCCTTCATTACCGCGACCTGCCCGTCGGCGGATACATGTCGGACGCCATTACTGAGGCCATGGAAAGCAGCCGTCGAACTATTGTGATACTGTCAGAAAATTTCCTGAAGAGTGAGTGGTGCAGGTACGAGTTCAAGGCTGCCCATCACGAAGTCCTCCGTTCCAACAAACACAGATTGATTGTTGTTTTTCTAGGAAAGGTGATACAAAGAGACCTAGACCCCGAGATTAGATCGTGGATAAAAAGCAACACATTCCTTCGGTGGGGAGAAAAACTGTTTTGGGAGAAGTTGCGGTACGCCATGCCAGACATTCGCCAACGAACGTCCGAACGCCGCCGTCAAGACCACACAAGCATAGCCGTACATATTTGACATAACAAATTTAGTGACGACGAACTTTTTAACAATCTAAGTCAACAAGTGGTGAGTCCATATACGGCACTTAATGATTTAGTGTTTTTTTCCTTGTGTAGAAAGGGATCAAAGTTGACGTGTAAATACTTAGCCGTGTGTATAGCATGTTCATTCAGATTTAAAATAATTTATATGTTTGAATTGCCAACCATGAGCTGTGATGCTTCTATATAAGCAGTCTTTACAATCTGCTTTGGGAAGAGTCTATAAGAAAGAAGTATATATTTATACATTAGCAGTTCGGACAAAATCTTGCTTTGGCAGCTCCCGCTAAATGCAATGGAACATAGCGCATTTTGGTTTGATCATTTTAAAGCTTAACTGCAATGGTTATCAAACATACAACATGTAAACTAGTCTTTTTTTTTTTCATGTCAAGATCTGTGAACAATAGAAAAATTCCTTAGGTTAGGTTTAAAGTCAATAGTTTTACTAAGACAAACAAGGCATACCGGACACTGAAATAAGCCGATTAAATCAATCAAAATAAAAGCTTAGTATAAGTTCAATATAAAAAAAAAAGGCGTTACGGGATAAGTTTTAACGTTCTGAAGAGCGACTATGTATTATAGCAATATTAATAAACCATTTTTTTTCTTTTCAAGACCTAGTTCTGTTTGAACTAACTTTATAAAACGCTGCAGCGGGGGGAGGGGGGGAAAAGAGAGGACAATTATATGTATATATGTATTCGTGATTTTATTTACGTAGGACTAATAGAACATTTTCCCCCACTCGTATTATTATTGATGCAGTTTATACCTAAAAGAATAAAATAGAGGTTTCTAAATCCCCGTCACAAAGTTCACGTGACGAGGGTAAGCCTTGAAGCAGAAAAGCTAGTATTTTACTTAACCTGGAAGTCACCGTTTTTGCTTAACACATTAGCGTATGATACATTACAATTCAGAACCAGCTTTAAAGAGAAAGTTGAACGTGACACAACATCCGTTGTGAAACTTTAGAAATAGGCTACTTAAATGTGATCATTCACAGTAGTTAAATGACAAGTAGAAAATAGATGACATTTCTGCCCTCTGTTAAATTTATTCAAAAATCTAACCCAAATTATGTGTGATCACGTCGAACAGGGGGAGCAGTTCCCCCCTGTTTTCATCGGAAGTATCCTAACTACACACTGGCATATATTTGTGTTGCTATAGATTGAAGTTACCAACATGTACATGTGAGCCTGATAAATATTAACGAGGCAAACGTTATTTCATTTTTAAAAATCGGAACAGTACTTAATTAACCGGTTAGAAACGAATGTTATGAACGAGTTTTTTCAAATGTAAACAATTTTGTATGTGCTCTTAATAACTGCATTAGAAATAAAGACTGGCGAATTGAATTATAATAATTATTATTTCTTTATACATATATCATCTCAGACTTGCTTTGTGTTCGGTGTGCCAAAATGTAACTTAATTTCCATGATTTTCAACGCATTAGAAGTTTGGTGTATTGTTAAAACCCTGTTTTTGACTCTTATGAGAACTTAAAAGGCTTAAAACGTACAAGTTTTCTGTCACTAATTAAAATAGGAATATGAACAAACAATGTATCATATAAGACAGAAACCTGGTTATATTGTTCTTTTTTCAACACGGCAATAAAAATGTACGTATATATATTTTTTTCTTTCAAAATTAGTAGTTAACGAGAAGTAGAAATCACTAAAACAATTAAAAGAAAAAAAATACTATAATAAAGATGTGTTAAAAGATTCAAAGTGTTAGGATTATGAATATAATTATAAAAGCAATATGATGGAGAGTTATTATGGACGTGTAAAGACTATTGACGATGGGAATAGACGTGAATTACTTTTTTCAGCTACTCTGTGTAAAAAGTTTCGTAGCTTCATTTCCAATATGCAATTCCAATAAGCTTTGTGAATATAATGTAATGTAGGTTTCAGGGGTGCATTAATAAATATTGCGTTATGTATATTGCGAAGTAACACGTCAGTCAACAGTCGCTTTTTTTTTCCATTGTCTGTATCTTGAGATTGGTTCTATGTAACAAATGTATAAGACGGCCCATCTTTTGTGATGTGATAAATTTCTAGTTATGCATGTGGAATTAGAACACTGTGCCATTAATTATTTATTGAATGGAATAAAGAAGATGCAGAATAAAAAAGGTGGAGCCAAACTAAAGTCTGAACAGTTTTATGCCTCTCCCATTCGTCGCATTGTGAAGTTGTTGCGTAAAAAAGAACGTACGCACGACTTATGATGTTCTTGCTTCAACCGTCGTCGTTTTGTGTTCAATCTTTCAAATAAAGAATTTTACGATGAGTAAAAACAACATTCTCTGCCTCTTGTAAAAAAAATTAAACAAAATAGATGTTAAATATTTACAAGTACGATTAAATCGTTATTATATAGAATTGCCCCACCCTTCTCCACCATCATAAACCATCTGGTAGGAAAAAAAAATCCCAGGTAAAAAATATGATAAAAAATCCTTTACCTATAACGATCATCTTTAAACAGATATTACCTTTTGGTTTCTGTGCTTGCTTACTTCTGTAGAATCACTCGCTTATTATGACAAGTATAAAGCATGAAATAAACGGTTTTGGAACAACAATGAGAAACTAGAGACACTCACACGTGTCATCAGCTTCAAAATAAAGACACTGTTGTAACACAATTCTTATCCTCACGAGTCCGACGATGTAACACGAACCGGGAAAATTAATTGTATACATACACAAATAAATATAAGTTGGATTTTTTTTTTGGGGGGGGGGTCATGATCCATTGACAACACCATCTGTGATTCCTTCCAGTCGAAGATAAAGAAATAAAACTACGACAACACTGCCCTGTTAGCACGTGTTATCAAGAAAGTTGATATTGAACATAAATCGTATTTCGACACACCACAACAAACAACTGCTCTTACACGGAGTCCAAAATCATCACGAGCATAAATTACAGTACGAGTATTTTATGTATAAACATACGATTAACTTTGGGCTGCATAAAATGTGACTCCGATGTCTTTAAATGGAGTCGATAAAACCTTGTTATCTTGGGGGGGGGGGGGATGTCAAGGTTATAGGGAAAAAATCATTTCCAAAACTTGACTTGAACTATGGCAGTAGTTTTGCTGATGTATTGAAGCAAAGTGATAAGAGAGAGAGTAAGTGAACTTTAAAACGTGAAGGACAGTAAACTGATATCCTTGTTGAAGTTAACTCAGTATTACATTCAAAATTTGTTTACTCCAGTTCAAACCACGCGGGAAAATTGCTTTACACACACACATGTATATATCACGAACACGTGTTTGATTAATCAGTTCGTTTGAGAAAACTTCCAATTAATATCAAACGGCGAGGGGTGGGAATACAGAGGCCTGAACTTCTATCACAAAACTACAAAAATATTTGTCGCGAATACACAGTAAACAAAACCGCTACAGAGTAACTGAGACCCATATGGTAGGAATATTTATTGAAATAAATCACTTACACTGGTTTTATTATATGCTACATCTAGTAAAATTTATCTATTTTTCTAAACAGTTGAAATCAGTAACATAGAATTGAAAAAAATTTTTTTTTTTTACTTTGAATTTACTTGTTGTTGAAGATATGTAGAAAATATATATGATCAAAGAACGACGTTTCTGTTACAAAAAGTTATTTAAAACCGAGATGAAGAGAGCGCAAACCCTTGTATTATTCTGTTTGTAATAGTTCTAAGTAAAATAATTCCAGATAATCCCAAAATGTAGACAATGACATGATACATAAAAACATGCAATTATAAATCCTTTAACTCTTAAATCACAGACTAAAATCATTTCATTGTGCATTGTTCACCACTAACATGTTCATGTATTGTTCAACATTAACATGTTAATGTATTGTTCACCACTAACATGTTCATGTATTGTTCAACATTAACATGTTAATGTATTGTTCACCACTAACATGTCCATGTATTGTTCAACATTAACATGTTCATGTATTGTTCACCGCTAACTTGTTCATGTATTGTTCACCACTAACATGTTCATGTATTGTTCACCACTAACATGTTCATGTATTGTTCACCACTAACATGTCCATGTATTGTTCACCACTAACTTGTTCATGTATTGTTCACCACTAACATGTTCATGTATTGCTCACCACTAACATGTTCATGTATTGTTCACTACTAACATGTTCATGTATTGTTCACTACTAACATGTTCATGTATTGTTCACTACTAACATGTTTATATATTGTTCACTGCTGGCGAAGTCCATATACCGTGTCATACTGAGTAACTTTACCAACATGTTTATATATTGTTTACTACTGGCGAAGTCCATATACCGTGTCATACTGAGTAACTTTACCAACATGTTTATATATTGTTTACTACTGGCGAAGTCCATATACTGTGTCATACTGAGTAACTTTACCAACATGTTTATATACTGTTTACTACTGGCGAAGTCCATATACTGTGTAATACTGAGTAACTTTACCAACATGTTTATGTATTGTTTACTACTGGCGAAGTCCATATCTTGTCTTACTGAGTAACAAAATTTTTTGCCTTTTGGTGAAATCACTAATTTTCTATGTAAACCACAAAACCAACCCCAGCAACAATTAGAGGAAATACTTGTAATATAATAGTGATGGTGTTTGTGTGTGAAACATATGTTATCACGCACCATGTAATACAATACTGATGGTATTTGTGTGTGAACCATATGTTATCACGCACCTTGTAATACAATACTGATGGTATTTGTGTGTGAACCATATGTTATCACGCACCATGTAATACAATACTGATGGTATTTGTGTGTGAACCATATGTTATCACGCACCTTGTAATACAATACTGATGGTATTTGTGTGTGAACCATATGTTATCACGCACTATGTAATATAATACTGATGGTATTTGTGTGTGAACCGTATGCTATCACGCACCATGTAATCAACAAAGTCGTTAACCAACTAGCACTTCGGTGCTTTTATTTGTTTTTTTTTGAAAAGCAAAAAACTAAAGAACGGGATATCTGGGTTCTGCCCACCGCGGGTACTGAAACCAGATTTTTAGCGTTATATATATATATATATATATATATATGATTTATACTATTACAAAATGTGTTGAAATCTCTGCATGTTTCAGTAATTGTGTTACACACACACGCATTTGTTCAAGTGTCTTATGCATTTGCCTTCCCAGGTGTTAGAATTTTCATGAATATTTGCACATTTGTCTACAAACACTCGTCCGAAACCTAAAGAGTTCGTCAGCACACTATTGACATCTTTTACAACAAACTTCCCACAATTAGCTGCAAAACGGCATATCACTCCAAACCACCGTTTTATCTTAGTTCAGGTATGTTGTCACTGCGGATGTTAAATGTTTTGTTGCTGTTGTTCTCGGTGCAAAGTTACACAGTAGGCCATCTACGTTACGTTCTGTCCACCGCGGGGAACTGAACCTGGGATTTTAGCAGTGTAAGTCCGTAAACTTACCGTTGATCCACGAGGGGTCCTAAATGCTTTGTTCACCCAGTCTGTAAAACTTTGTCCAAGTTTGTATCTACTGACGGCATAAAAATATGTCAAAGTTTGTCTCTAGGGACAGTATAAAAAATTTCAATTTGATTTTAACAGAACAGTATAAAAACTTGTCCAAGTTTGTTTCTACAAATAGTATAAAATATTTTCAAGTTTATCTCTACCGATAGTAAAAAAAACTTTTCAAAGTTCATTTTAACGGAACAGTATAAAATTCCAAGTTTGTCTCTACGGATAGTATAAAAAATTTTAGTTTCCTTTAACGGAACAGTAAAAAATTTGTCCAAGTTTGTCTCTACGGACAGTATAAAGTTTGTCTATATTTGTCTCTACGGCTAGTGTAAAAATTGTCCAAGTTTGTCTCTACGGACAGTACAAAATTTGTCCACGATTATCTCTATGGACAGTATAAAGTTTGTCTATATTTGTCTCTACGGCTAGTGTAAAAATTGTCCAACTTTGTCTCTACGGACAGTACAAAATTTGTCCACGATTATCTCTATGGACAGTATAAAGTTTGTCTATATTTGTCTCTACGGCTAGTGTAAAAATTGTCCAACTTTGTCTCTACGGACAGTACAAAATTTGTCCACGATTATCTCTATGGACAGTATAAAGTTTGTCCATATTTGTCTCTACGGATAGTGTAAAAATTGTCCAAGTTTGTCTCTACTAGACGGGATAAAATCTACGTGACACTAGGGTTTTGTCTGAACATTATATTCCACATTTTAAATTTTTTTCTAAAGGCAAACGTAATAGAAGTTTGTATCTGGCGTTTCTCAAAGAT